GCCGGGGTGAGGGCAGGTGGAGAGGGGACGGGGTGGGGGTGGGCGAAAGAAGGTGGTTTTTGCAGGCGTAACGGCAAGCGCATCAGATGCGGGCGTGTCTAGAAGAGTGTGTGGCTTCAGGGACAGCCAACATCAAGTGCCGCGGACGGTTGTGGTGGAGAGGCGCGGGGAGCGGAGGGACAAACAGTGATGGCGGCCGCGGGCGCGCCCCCACCTGCGTGGAGATGTCCGTGTTGGAGACGCTGTCCTGCAGGTGGCTCATCAGCAGCAGGTCGCGCGCCGTGTAGAAGTCGTCGTGGAGCGCCCTTTGGAGGGGGGGGGGGGGGCGGAAGACGTATGCCACATCAGCGCGCGGGTAAGAGGCCCTTGCTTAATTTCCATAGGTCACCATTGACCAAAGGCTAAGGGAGCCGTGGCGGTGATGGCCGCTGCGCTGTCCACAGTCAACCTGTTCACCGGCTGCTGACCTGGGCGCCGGCCCAAGCCGCGCTCTCGCGTTTTCTCTCCAACCTCGCTTGCTCGTGCCCCGGCCGACTACACGCGCGGCGATTGGCCCACCTGGCCATCACGCCAGCCCGGAACCGATAACCCCCTTGGCCCCTACAAACAAATAGACACTCTCACACACACACATACACACACACACACACACACACACACACACGAAAGGACGCCACCTTATTCCCCCACCTGTGGTAGATGTGGCACAGCATCGCGCGCGCCTTGGTGCGCTCGTCGCCGTGCGCAAAGATGACGCGCACCAGCGCCGCCAGCGCGCGCTCCCCGCTCTCGTCCATTGTGTAGTCAGCGGGCACCTTGAGCACCACCACCTCGCCTGCGCTCGCCACGGCGGCCGCGCTCGCGGCAGCCCTGAAAATCAAGGGGGTAGGGGGCCGCGGCGGCGCAAGGAGTTGGGATGCTGGGCGTTCGGAAGCACGGCGCCCCGCCCCCCAAACCCGTCGCGTCACGGGGCGCGCGCGACACATGCGGCCCCGTAAACAACTGGAGGGCATGAATGGCTGGGGCCGCCCATGTGGCACGTTGTGCTGTGGACTAGGGCTTACAATTTGAAGCCCTCCGTCATTTTGCCCCCCCCCCAACTAGAGGGGACTGCGGGATTCGCATTGGTCGCACCTGTCCGCGGGGCTCTCGTCCTCGTCCTGCCCCTCCGCCGCCACGCGCTCCGCCTCGGCCTCCGCGCCGGCCGCCGCCGCCGCCGCGGCCTGCGCCTCCGCGGCCAGCTGCTGCTGCTGCTGCAGCGCCAGGCGCCTCATGGCGTCGTACACGCCCTGCGCGTGGGCGCGATAGGGGCGCAGCCATGTCAGCCGGCGTGGGTCTCGCACGCTGTCGCGCGTCGCTGGGTGGCGGCTCATCAACTGCCACGGGCCCTGCGCCTGGTGATACCTGTGATCATAACCCCCTCCCCCCCACACGCACATACCCAGGGACGGCGACTGGAAACACAGCTGCACCACCTCCCATAATGACCAGGCGCCTAGAGAACACCGTCTGCGCGTGTGCAGGCAAGTGCACACACGCACGCGGACACACACACACTCTCACACACACACACACACACACAATAAGCGAAACTCACAGACCCCGGGCCCTTACCCACAACCCTGCACAGACGCACACACAACCAACCCAGCTGTATAACATACCCCAGCACCCGCCCACGCCTCCCACCTGGTGCTTGAAGTACAGGTGCTCCACCAGCCTCAGCGCCACCTTGGACTGCGACCCCGTGTCCCCCACGCGCCCCAGGTAGTCGTGCACCTTCTGGCACAGCGCCAGCAGCACGGGCTCGTCGCGCAGCCGGTTCATGTACTCGTGGGTGTGCGGGTCGATGACCTGGCGGACGGCGGCGGTTGGGTGCGGCGGGGTCGAGCCGGGGGCGCGGCGGGGGGTGCCGACGCGCTGAGGGGCCGAGCGAGGCGGCCGCAAAAAGGGCCGTGCTGTTGCTGCATCCCCCCCCCCTCGCGCACCTGCAGGCTCTTGAACAGCTCGTCATCCAGTCGCTCCACAAACGCCACCAGGTTGCCCCACACCTGTGAGGGTGGTCGAGTGCCGCGCAGGGGTTGTGTGATCACGGTGTGTGCGTTGAAGTGTGTGGTAGAGAATAGTTTGTTTAATGTGTGTGTACGAGCAAGTGTGCTGTGTTTTGTGTGTGCCATCACGACGAGGCACGGCCGTGCATCGACGCCATGCGGCGGCCCCGCTGGGCCGCAGCGCCTTCTCGAGCCTCTGTTGCCGCACCTTGGTGAGCGCCCCCTCCTCGGGCGCCTCTGCCTTCTCCTCGTTGGCGTCCGAGGTCTCGTCCATCACGATGTTGGGGTTGTCCTGCAGCAGCACCATGATCTGGGGGCGGGACGGGGCCGGGGTCGAGGCGCGGCGCGGCACGTCAGCGGGTCGCGGCGACAGGCAGGACGCGGGGCAGCATAGTTCAAGCCGCAGCCTGGGAGCGCGGCAAGCACCACCTGGCGGCGCCGCGCGAGGTGCGCCCTCGCTTCGACCCCCTCAGCGACGTAGCGGCCCCGGCTCTCCTCCGCCTCAGCCGGGCCTTCATCCCTGACCCAGACGTCCCCTGCGGCTCGTCGCCCCTAGGCAGCCCCGCCCCCGTG